GTGACAACAAGATTGTAGGTAGACTCATCAACAATCTGCGTTATGCCGATGACACAACCCTGCCTGGTGAATCTGAGGAGGACAGTAAGCACTTGCTGTAGAAGATCAGGGATTGCAGCCTGCAATATGGATTGAAGCTCAACATCAAGAAAACAAAGATTCTCACCACTTTGCCGATTGGCAGCATCATGACTACTAAGTTCCTAGCCCTGAGGCCTCTTCTAAATCTAGACTGCACATCTGACATGTTGAAGACTCCTCTACAGCACAACAACTCAAGGGAATCAATTCTTCCTCCATCATTAACGTAATTCTTTTTTTCGACTTCCTGACTGCTGGTGCCAAGCTTGTTGATTATGGAGCAGAGCAAGCTGTAATTTCTTATAACTTCGATCTCCTCTCCATCCATGATGTTATGCATCATAAATGCAGAGAGGTGAACAATGACTAATGAAGACAAAAACAGAAATTATGCTTTTTGATGCATCACGCATATCTGAGTGTCTAGACTGACATCGTTGCTCTTCAATACTCTGGAGAGGTTCCTGAGAGCTGATTTTTTTTCCCAGTGCAGTTTGTCTTTTGATTTCCTAGCTGCTGATACCAAGGCTTTTGACTGTGAAACCAAGAGAGCTGAAACTGTTAACAATCTCAATCTCTTCTCTATCAGTATTTTGCTGCCAATTGGCCCAATGGTGACAATTTTTGTCTTCTTGATATTAAGCTTCAATCCATATTGAAGGCTGAAGTCCTTGACCTTCTGATACAAACATCTCTTGTCCTGAGTTTTAGTAAGAAACATTTGTCATCTGCATAACAAACTTTGTTAATGAATCTTCCTCTAATCCTGATGCAACATTCTACCTCATAAAGCCAAGCCTCCTGGATGACCTGTTTTACATATAGTTTTTAAAGCATCACATAAAAGCAAGATCCTGCTGGAGATTATCCAAAAGAGACTGAAACAAGTACATCAACAGAGGAAAGGGAACCAAAACAAACTGGTCAATAAATCAAATTCACCAGCCATTCAGAGACATAAAGACATTCTTCTGTAAAGAAGTACAGCTGCAAAAATCCAAAAGAAGGCTGATTAGAATCAGAACATGTCCTCAAATTTACTACAACTCATATTGTCACTGAGTGCATCCCCTGAACAATGATGTTAAAACTAATCCCCTGTGAGGTGTTCTCCAGTTCATTAGTATATGTTGTTTGTTATTGTTAGGTGTCATTGAGTCAAGTATGGCCAATAGCGACCCTATGAACAACAGAACTGAACCCTGTTCTATCCAGTGTCATCCTCATACTTCCTGACACACTAACGCTCATTCTGGCACTCACTGTGTTAATCTACCTGGTCGAGGATCTTCCTCTCCTTAACAGACCCTCCACCGTTTCCAGCATCATGTCCTTCTCTAAGGAATAGTCCTACCTAGCACCGTGCCCAAAATATGTGAGGTGAAACTTTATCATTCTTTTCTCCGAAGAGCACTCTAGCTTTACCTTTTCTAAGATATGTTTGCTCTTTTGACAGTCTCTGGGACGTCCAGAACTCTTCACCTACACCACAGCTCAAAAATATCAATTATTCTGTCATCTTTAGTCATTTCCCAGCTCTCAGATGCACAGCAAGTGATAAGAAAGACCACAGGCTAAATCAAATGTACCTTACTCCTCAAACTGATGCCATTACTCCCAATAATTCACATTTTCCCCATGCAGTATGTCTCCTGATTTCCTGACAACTAGTACCAAAGGTATTAATTGTGGATCTAAGTAAGATTAAATTGTTGAGAGTTTTAATCGTTCCTCCATTTATCATGATATTGCCTACTGGTCTAATGGTTAGTATCTTTATTTTCTTTACATTGATATACAATCCATATTTAAGATTGTATTCTTTGATCTGCAACAAGTGCTGAGAGCATCAGGTGAAAAGTAAATGAGAAAATTTCTTCCAAGAACCTTATGCACAGAGGAAACTGAGTAATCCTTTAAAAAATTAAACTGATTCATCATTTTCAGAGATATTCAAAGACAAATCCATAAATCTCACACACGGTAAATCTCTTCAAATGCCCTCTCCATAAACTCTTTCTTTTTTAAGTGACTGTAATGATTAATTCTAACATGGACTCAAAATCAAGTATTGTAAATTGCAGAAACATAATAAATCTTTGATGTCTTAAAGGAAAGTTATCTACATTAATAATAACCCAAACCCAAACCAACACATATGAATGAAAAAAAGAAAACAAACCGACATTTTTTGGTATGTTTAAGTAGCTTAACTTTAACCTAATTGATTAGGGAATATACCAAGAATGTGCCTTTTATCAGAAATATTCCTGAAGTCCCATTTGGTTGACAGTTATAAAAATTGAGGTGAAGAGGAGTACGCTGTGTCTATTGAAAAGCTTAGAATATGAGTTCTCAGTAGGGGGTTTTGGTGTTTTGTTCCCCCCCTCCAGTTTTTGTTTTGTGTTTATGTATAAAAGAACATCCTTTGAATAAAAAGCATAATTTGAGGACCTCTTAAAAGTGTTTTATCATATATCAAGGATTGTGACACTGAGCTGACTACACTGAAAACTGAGGAAAATAATGGAAAGCACAGCAGAACCACATGACAGAAAAGTGGCAGTAGTATTGTACATCAGCAGAGAACTGCAAGAAGGCCAGGCTGGGTTTAGAAAGGGTCTTGGTACTAGGGATATTGTAGCTGATGTTAGATGGATCTTGGCTGAAAGCAGGGAATACCAGAAGAATGTCTGTGTTTCATTGATTATGCAAAAGCATTTGACTGCATGGATCATAACAAACTGTGGCTGACTCTGAGAAGAATGGGAATCCCAGAACATTTAATTGTGCTAGTGCAAAACCTGTACTTGGACCAAGAGGCAGTCGTCAGAACAGCAGGGCAACACTACATGATTCAAATTTGGGAAGGGTATACGCCAGGTATGTGTCCTATCTCCATACCTTTTCAACCTGTATGCAGAGCAGATTATCCGAGAGGCTGGGCTCTATGAGGAGAAGCGTGGTGTCAAGATTGGTGGAAGATCTATTAACCATCTGCGTTATGCAGATGACACAACCCTGCTCGCTGAAACTGAGGAGGACCTCATGCACTTGCTGCAGAGGGCCAAGGACTACAGACTTCAGTATGGACTGAGGCTCAATGTCAAGAAGACAAAAATTCTCACCACTCGACCAATCGGTAGCATCAGTATGGATGGTGAAGAGATTGAGATTATTCACAGCTTCAGTTTGCTCGGCTCCATGGTCAACACTCTTGACACCAGCAGCCTGAAAACAAAAAAAAATGTATTGCAATGGGAAAGTCTGCTGTTAGGGACCTCTCTAATGTACTGAAGAGCAACGGTGTCTCTCTGGAGACTAAGGTGCGCTTGATACAGGCCATGGTTTTTGCAATCACTTGTTATGCATCAGAGAGTTGGACAATGACTAGGGAGGATAGAAGGAGAATTGATGCCTTTGAGCTGTGGTGCTGGAGAAGAGTATTGAATATACCATGGACTGCCAAGAAAACAATCAGATTCATCCTAGAGACGGTTAAGCAGTCTGCTCCTTGGAGGCAAGGATTCTGGGGCTTTGTCTGACATACTGTGAACATGTTGTAAGGAGAGACAGGTCTTTAGAGAGGGACATCATGCTGGGTAGAGTAGAGGGACAGCGCAGGAGGGGAAGACCCTCTATGAGGTGGATTGATTCAGTGACTGGAGTAATCGGGATGGGTGTGTCAGGGGCAATAAGATTGGCACCGGATAGAGCAGGGTTTAGGGCTGTTGTACATAGGGTCGCTATGAGTTGCAAACGATTTGACGGCACATAACAACAACAACAACCCTATGCCAATCTTTTCTCTAACATATCTACACCCATTATTACCTCAGTTATTGAATCACTCCATCTCATCTAGAGAAGTCTTCTCTTATGATGTCCCTCCACCGTCTCAAGCATTAAATCCCTCTCCAAAGACTGGCCCCACCTTGCAGCGTGTCCATAGCATGCCAGATGAAGCTTAAGAATCCTTGCCTTTAAGGAGCAACCTGATACCACCCTCTCTAGGATGAACCTATTTGTACTCCTAGCAGTCCACGGTATATTCAATACTCTTCTCCAGCACCACAACTCAAAGGCATCAATTCTCCTTCTATCATCCCTCGTCATTGTCCAAATTTCTGATGCATAGCAAGGAACTGCAAAACTATGGCCTGTGTCAGGCACACATTAGTCTCCAGACTGATATTGTTGCTCTTCAGTACTTTGGAGAGTCCCTGACAGCAGACTTAAAATTCATCACCGTAGATTAATTTTGAGCCTATGGACAAGAAAATAAAAGCTACCCACCCTACCTGTCCTCATAAACTCTGGTGTTATAGTCAAGTGTTAACTGTATAGCTCCAAATGACAACTAATTCCAGTAACACACAAATATTTGTATGTAGTATTGTACAACCTTTTAGAAAGTAGTTTGTCTTAAAAGGTCTTGTATAATTTTCCATCTCAAAATACAATCCAATAGATAGACACTTACTTAAGTTGAGCAACTGATAAAAAAATTCTTATTTTCTGCTTAGGTTCAAAATGTGTATATGTAGTAATGGGTGTGTATGTGTGTAGATATGTACGTAAGTGTGGGTATTTATTCATAGAGCCCTATGCTTTTTACCCCATAATTTTGAATAATTATTACTGCTAAAATATTAAAAACAATGTAACTATTAGATAAAAACGACCCAAATTTAAGGGAGCTTGGGTGTCCTAGTGGCAAGAAGCTGTACTGCAATCCCAGAGGTATACAGTTTGAATCCACCAGATGACTTGCTGGAGAAGGAGAGGCAGTCTCCTCCTGTACCAGTCAGATCTGATTTGATGTACACACACACACACACACACACACACACAAACCTGAAACAAAACTATTAAAATTTAATCAAATCGACTTTTTTTGCAATACATTTACAATGAAGGTTGAGTAAACTTAGTCTCATAAGAAAAAAGCCTGTCCGTCTTGGAGCGGCGACTGCAGAACAGGGGCCCCGGGCAGTGCAGCGGGGCCGGCAAGCAGAACGGCGGCGGCGGCGACGTCGCCAGGAAACCTAAGGACTCTGCAATATGAATACTCCTTTGGAGAACACCATCTCCTTTGAAGAGTACATCCGAGTAAAGGCAAGATCTGTCCCACAGCACAGGATGAAGGAATTTCTGGACTCTCTGGCCTCCAAGGGACGAGAAGCTCTTCAGGAGTTCCAGCAGACAACTACCACTACCATGGTGTACCAACAGGGTGCGAACTGCACTTATACAGACAGCACTGAAGTGGCTGGGTCTTTGCTTGAACTAGCCTGTCCAGTCACTACCAGTGTTCAGCCACAAACTCAGCAAGAACAACAGATCCAGGTTCAACAACCACAGCAGGTTCAGGTACAGGTGCAGGTACAGCAGTCTCCACAACAGTTCTCTGCTCAGCAGCTCTCTCCACAGCTCACCGTTCACCAGCCTGCTGAGCAGCCCATCCAGGGCCAGGTGCAAATCCAGGGCCAGGCACCACAGCCAGCAACTCCTTCCATCCAGACTCCGTCTCTGCAGAGCCCTAGCCCCTCCCAACTGCAAGCTGCCCAGATCCAGGTGCAGCACGTTCAAGCAGCCCAGCAGATCCAGGCTGCAGAGATCCCAGAAAAGCATATCCCACATCAGCAAATCCAAGCTCAGCTGGTGGCTGGACAGTCTCTTGCTAGGGGTCAACAGATCCAAATCCAGACAGTGGGTGCCCTTTCCCCACCATCGTCTCAGCAAGGCTCCCCTCAGGAAGGGGAACGGTGGGTTGGCACAGCCAGTGTCCTCCAGCCAGTGAAGAAGCGCAAAGTGGACATGCCTATCTCTGTGTCCTATGCCATCTCAGGGCAGCCAGTGGCTACCGTGTTGGCCATTCCTCAAGGCCAGCAGCAGAGTTATGTGTCATTAAGGCCAGACTTACTGACAGTAGACAGTGCCCATTTGTACAATGCCACTGGGACCATTACTAGCCCTACAGGAGAAACCTGGAACATCCCTGTTTATTCTGCCCAGCCACGGGGGGACCCTCAACAACAGAGCATCACCCATATTGCCATTCCCCAGGAAGCCTACAATGCAGTTCATGTCAGTGGCTCACCTACAGCCCTGGCAGCCGTAAAGCTGGAGGATGACAAGGAGAAGATGGTGGGCACCACATCAGTAGTGAAAAACTCCCGTGAAGAGGTTGTGCAGATCCTTGCAAACTCACTCTTTCCAGCACAGTTCATGAATGGCAACACCCACATTCCAGTGGCTGTGCAGGCTGTGGCAGGCACGTACCAGAATACAGCTCA